CCCTTCCTTCATTCTAGATTGGACTAGGACATTTTCATCCCGATAGCAGGTCCTATGTTTTTCAGTAAACACATGTCAGTATATTAGAGTACACTGTATTACATACCTAATTACTACCTTTTCCCTACTCATTGTGAGCACAAGCACCCTCTTAAATTGTCAAGGCAAAAGTTATCCCTTTAGCGAAGAGGGTTTCAGGACTCTGCATACAATACCTCAGGCAGCCAGGAGATCATTTGTTGGGCACTTTAAAAGTAGTGATTTTCAAACTGTGTTCCCAGGGTTACTAGGAGTCTAGGGTAAGCTCCAGGCACAGCCCAGGGGCAGAAGGAGGGCTCTGGCTCCTGGCCCCACTTCCTCCACAGCATGTCTGTTTTTATTTGGCTCATATATTAGGGTATTGCATAAGATTGCATTTGGTGCCAAATATAAAACAAAAATGATGTCTTAAAAAATGTGTGAAAACCATTTCAATAAAGGGTTCTCTCTCCCTGAGGTGCCTTTAACCCCCCTCCTCAGGCTGTTCCCTTCAAATGGAGGTTTGGGCACTTCTTTTTCTTTAAAGAGGAGCCCTGGTGGCGCAGGGGTTAAGAGCCACCTCGAGCTACAGCTGCTAGCCAAAAGGTCAGCAGTTCAATCCACCAGCCGCTCCTTGGAAACCCTATGGGGCAGTTCTGCTCTGTCCTGTAGGGTCGCGATGAGTCAGAACCGACTCAATAGCAATGGGTTGGTTTTTTTTGTTGTTGTTGTTGGTCTTCCTTTAAAGAATCTCATCCTTTTTTGACTCCTGCAGAATTTGAAATATACGTCAGTTGAGATCATCAAATGTATTCATTTACAACATCCAAAAAGTAACCCAGAATTTTGCACAGTAAATCCCGTCAAGGTTAAGATACGTTTTTCTCAGATACACTGGAAATTGGCTTTAGCCCCCTTCCCTCTAGAAGCCCTGGTGGCACAACAGTTAAGAGCTGGACTCTCACCAAAAAGTTGGCAGTTTGAACCCATCTGGCAGCTCCATGGGGGAAAGACCCGGGGATCTGCTTCTGTAAAGATTACAGCCCGGGAAACACAATGGGGCGGTTCTGCTGTCATCCCATAGTATCTCCGTTAAGTAGAAACGCAACTTGAAGGTGGTGCCCAACAACAGTCCTCCTCCTTTCCCTTTCTTCTGCCCCTTCTCTGATTTTTTTTTTTTTTTTTTTTTTTTTTCTTCTGCAATGCTGGCACCTTCTCACAAGCAAAGAGAAGGACGAAGCTCTGCCCCTCCCTTTCTTCTCTATGCTAATCCAAAATCGAGGCTGGCATTTGG